GGCCCGAGCGGGTCTGTCGGCTTCGTCAAGGTCGTTTTTAATGAGCTCGTTTGCAAACTCAGTCTGGCGGTGGAGGGCAAGGTGAGAGGACCGGTGAGGGGGTGCTGAAAAAAAAGGGGACGGGGTTGTCCCCCAAAACTCCTGGGATGGAGTGCCCCGTCCCTGGGGGGCTGCAGGAGGAGGAGCGGGTGCTGGTGTCAGAGCAGAGCTGGAGGCCCTGCCCCAAAGCCCGGAAGAGGCTCCGAGGTGAGGACCCCCCACAACCCAAAGCGGGGGGAGCTTTTGGGTATGGGGGTGTGTTTTTTTGGGGGCGTCATCACCCCATTACCCCCCTGCCCCCTCGCAGGGTGCCTGGAGCAGGTGAAGCGGCAGCTTTTCTGTGTTGGGGAGGATTGGTATTTCCTCTTGCTCCTGGGGGTCCTCATGGCCACCATCAGCTTCATGATGGACCTCCTTGTCTCCAGGATCTATGAGGGTAAACAAGGGGCTCCCGCGGGGGGGCTTCCCCTGCTGTTTGGGGGTTCACCACGGATTGGGGGGGGGTTGTGTGTGTGTGTGGGGCATCTCCCCTCCTGGTGCTTCTTCTCCAGCCCACCGCTGGCTTTACCAAGAGGTCGGTGACATCTTGGTGCTCAAGTACCTCTCGTGGACCATCTACCCTGCGGCGCTGGCGGCCTTCTCCACCGGCTTCTCCCAGAGCATAACCCCACACTCGGGAGGTGAGCTGGCTGCACCCCAACCCCCCGGCTCCCCAAAAACCCCCCTTTGCCCAGTAGCAGGGGAACCCCTAAAATTTAGATGCTCCCCCTGCCCCAGGCTCCGGCATCCCAGAGCTGAAGACCATCCTGACCGGTGTGGTGCTGGAGGACTACCTGGCCATCCAAAATTTTGGAGCCAAGGTGGTGGGGTTGACCTGCACCCTGGCGTGTGGCAGCACCATTTTCCTTGGCAAAGTGGTGAGGATCCCCCTCCTGCTCCGGCTCCCAGCATCGCTGGCGTTGGGACGGGGGACAGGGGATGCTCAGCGCTGTGTCCCCCTGCTCCTCGCCACTCAGGGTCCCTTCGTCCACCTCTCTGCCATGGCCGCCGTGTATCTGGGGAAGATGCGGACCTCAGTCACAAGGGACTACGAGGTGGGGGTTCCACCCTCAAAAAAATCAGGGGGGAGCATTCCCCCCCCCAGTTAGGGGGATTTTATTTTATCCCCACCAAAAAATTGGCATTATGGCTAAACCCCCTCCCCGCAGAACAAGTTCAAGCAGAATGAGATGCTGGTGGCAGGGCAAGCCCCCGGGGGAGGCCACGG